AGAATAACACTGCAGAAGCTTGTGGGGTCCCTACCAGATATGAGCATATTTGGTTAGGTTCTCAAATGTATGCCAGTGGTATGAAAGTATGATTGAGAAATAAGAAGCAATAGGACTTGCATGTCACAGACAGCATCATTAAAAAGTAGACTTCCCTCTGACATTCTCCTTAATGGTGATAATGACAAATCCCTTTTTTTCAAAAGGGTATAGGTGAAGGTAGGGTGTTGGTGCTGATAAAAACTTAAATCTTTTATTGTTGGTAAATAGATCTGTTTCAGTAGGGGAGAAGAGACTATGCATACTCAGGAGTTTGCCATCTTAAATCTAAGTAGATGAGACATGAAGAACAAAGGGCTGATTAGATGGTCAGTGCTCAGAGTGTTGAGTCCCACAGTCATCTTTAGTCCCCACTCATCAGAAGTAGCTCTCAAGCCATGCCAATGCCAGTATTTCCTAAAAGTGTGACTAGTTGGGACGAAAAGATTAAACTCTGCTACATATGAGGTTCCAGAGAAGAGCAATTATTTATCAGTCCAATTAGTTCAAAAGACATCTTCCCAGCTGCTGTTCAATGTTTTGTTAACTTTTTTTATTGACTGTTTCTAGCAGTCTTTAATTATGGTACCTGACTGCACAGAGCTAGCATTAAGTTAGTACTAGTAGAATAATAGGCAATTCCATAATTCTCTGCAGATGTCTTACGGGTGCAATAGGAAAAACTAAAGTTTCAAATGCTGTCAGGGAGAAGCTGGATGGCCTCGGACTGCCCTGTACCATACTGCTTCATGGGAAGGAAGCATGACACAATACTCTATGGTGAACTGATCTGGAGACTACTTTTTGTAGTTCAGGCTTTGGTTTAGACTAGGCCCTTGTTCATATTTTGTGAAGTACAAGCACTTATCTGCAACAGGAGACTACTCTCATTTTCTACCTAGTAAACCTGTTCCTAGGTTGATTATTAGTGTGCCAAGCCAATGATATTCTAGCTGAAGTTGAAGCTATGCAACTGTAATAACATTCCCAAAAGAACTTCAAGTCAACAGCAACTACTTTTGTGCAGGAATACCATGTCAATTTAAATTTTCTGGTCATACTGTATGCTAGTATGAGCTGAATGAGCCATTTAGTTCCTCTTCCTTCTTACTGCACCCAAAGATATACCTAAGTCAGATAATTCATGTTCATTCAACAATAAAACCTGTGATAATTCAGAATTACATTAGTAGTGTGTCTGACCATATTTGACTTCTCTTGAAGCTGAAACATGTAAAATGATTTATAAGCAAACCAAAATTTCTTTGTGTGTCAGATACATTAGCAATTGGTTCAGTCTGAGATGACTAAAATGTCAAATGGGGGTGGGGGAAACTCATAGCTTGAGGAAGTTTTTAAATTTGAGTTGTCATAAAATGCCCAAAATATTCAGTTTCAACTTAATGGATGTAGTGCCTTTCTTAAATAATGTAAGCATGGAAAACCTGCAAGAAATAAGTTGTGCTAAACAATGAGTTAGAGCCAGTATACACTCTAAATGGATGATAGGTTTCCCTTAGGCTTGTCTAGTGCAAATCCTCTTCTGCACTTCCCTAGAGGTATTTACAAATAAAGGCTCATACAAGCAAGCCCATATATTCCCCAAAGTTTTCAAGGGTAAACATGTATATTTAAGACTGGAGACTGACCCACGCTGTAAGATGAGATGCTTACTTTGTTTTCCATTCTCCATAGATTGTTGGCTCTTTCTTAGAAGTGACTACTGCTCTCTGGTGATTAATTGCTAAAAACAAACCTAGCAACTGGAACCTTTAAAATTGCATTTGTCTACTGGTAATTTAACATTTCGTAAGAAGGATAATTGCTAGCATTTATCATAGGCTAAGAATTAATAGTTATATATTTTTAAATGTTTGTAAAAATGTATTGTGTGTTAGTTATTGTTAACTAATCTGAAATTTTATGCACCAATATTACCATCTATGGGAGGCAGGAGAGGAGCAGAAATGTGAAAAACTAAGGACAGCATAGTATGTGTATAAAACCACAAAATGCACATTCCTGTTTGCTTATTGTTTACAATAACTTACACAGTACTTTGGTTTAACTTAAAATCATTCAAATCTACATTTACTTAAAGAATTGGGGGGAAAAAAAAAGTGTTCCATATGTGCAATACGTATGCTTCTGTGTCATTTTCTCACCATGATATTTTGGACTGTGTGATGCACACTTATAATAACTGAAATCTTTAAGAAAAATGACAAAACCAAGGATCTTCCAAGCAAATTCGCTGCAAACAATGTTGGCATGCAAATCTACTGACAATGGCCTTGCATTGTTCTCCTTTCACTATGTAAGAATTTTAATTATTGTGATTAAAATAATGACTACCACAGTGGCACAACTGAGAGACAGGTTCATTTAGACAGTGCACTAATTGCATCCATCCCTTAGATATTTTATAGGAAACACTTAGAGAATTCAGTACCCCAGAAGAATAACAAAATCCTCTGATTATCTAAAGTATTTGAGGTCTAATATCTATGTTAAAGGTCAAGTTGCACCTTATGTTAAGGACATTTAAGGACCTATTCAGTATAAAACTCACTTTGTCAGAAATGGGTACTCTTATTCTAATGCCCTCACAATGAGCCTGATTTTTAGATAAAGCTGTGGATAATGAGCAACCTGCTGTAGGTGAACAGAACAAAGCAAGATAAGACTAGGCTTGTTATGATAAACACATTCAAGAATGCTTGCCAAATATTATTTAACTTGCTTTTTAATCCTTTTATATCCCTGAAGGCTTGGGGTTGGTGAGAATCTCCTCATGTGTCCATTTGTGAGCCTCTATCTCAATAAGCAATGTTGCTGCACACCTTTATGCCTTGGAGGCCTCTGTACTTTTCTTTTCAATGAAGATGTCTACAGCAGCTTTGCTCTGTCTCCTTTCTTACAAATTAAATGCATGTCTTGTCATCCAGTTCATTTATCCCTTCGTACTGAAATGGATACCTGTATCTCTACTTTCCTTTCTCCCTTCATAGTTGAAGGAACAAAATACTGTGTATTATTTAATACTGTATGTTAGACAATAGTTTGTGGGGTTTATGAAGAGTGATTGTAGAAACTCAGTGGCTACAGGCCAGCCAGTGGCTACCTATCACAGCAGCACTTCCTCCATTATCAAAAAGGATTAGGAGGACATTGGCCCAAGACTGACTAGAAATAACAATTAAAGCTCAGACAGGCAACTCAGAAGTACTTAGGTCCCTTTGTTTATTTTCACACCAGTGGCAGCTATATCAATATTCTGGTGTTACAAAACCCCCAGTTATTATTCTTGCCAGACTGATAACAAGGGTACAATACAATTCAGCTCAACCTCTGCTAAATAAACTTTGAAAGAATACAAAAAAATATTGAAATTAAAGTCTATTTTGAATTATGTTTTGAATTAGCAATCATTCTGGGGAAAAACAACACAACAATTTCTTATTCAAGCATACAGAAGAATTCACTAACTTTTGTATTTCAAGAGCTCCGCTTCTCTTTCTGTTCTGCAAATACTTTCAAAACTTACAAGCAGCAACACTCCCAGCAGCAGCTGCTAGTATACTGTGACAGAAAGACCATTAGTCTAAAACATGCTAACTAGACTTCTCTGCTCCTAGCCAATACTAGTAACTGTTCAAACCATTCAAGATTATCAAGCTTACTCACATAAGCTAGAACTTTTAGGCTGGCAGTAAGGCACTGAATATAGTAAGTTACACAATATGGTTCTAATTATAGTTCTGAAAATAGAATGCAGAAATTAATATTAAAAACTTGCTGTAGATATGGGAAATATGAAAATATCCCCCTAAGGTTTTTTCGTTCACAATTATAATAACGGTCAATCTGTTTCATTCATTTGGTGGAATGGACATACTTTAATGTCTGTTTTTAATAGAATCACCTAGATAAAATTGCTTAACTGTGGGGCACTTAACTACAGAAAATCATAGTACTTATAGATTTGATAAAGCTGAAAACAGGAAACTTACACCTCTGAAGTTTAATAAAGCATTTTAATTAAAGGTAAGGCAAAATAATGCACTTATTCTTACTAGTCCATCATCTAGGTACATGTTATGTTTTACCTCTTTTAGGTAGATCTCCATTCACTCTAGAAGGTAACTAATAATTCAGCTGCATATCACTTTAGCGATGCAAAGTTTTAAACTGACCTTAGAGCAAAGGGAATTAGGTATGTCCCTCTGTAAGGAAGTAAGCACATTCAATTTGAAACTTAAAAAAAAAGAAGAAAACTTCACACCTCTTTTCTTCTAGAAAAGTTTGAGTTCCATTTCCACATTTTTTCTGGCACTCATCATTAGAACAAGTAAAGATCATGCATGGTTTAAATTAATATCTACATCATCCTTGTGATAAAAAACTGCTTAACAGCATTTTTGGTACAAGTAAAGCTCCTATTTCTTCCTCTTGCCCAGGTCAAGATATGACCACCTAGTACAAAAACACAGCAATATGTAGGCACTTCTTGTAGTTGTGTTTAATATATGCAGTATCTAGCCTTGGCATACATTCTACTGCAAACAAAATTAAAAGTAATGACCTACTAAGGCAATGGAATGGGAGACCTTAATGGAAAAAAAACTTTTAACTACTCGAATGCTGACCCCAGTTTTAAGTTATCTAGTGTGTCAATGCAGAATAAAAATAGTGTAAATAAACTAGTTTTGCCCCATGCATTAGAATAACTTGTTTTACTTAAATTGTTTGTTCTCTGTGCAAAACCACTTTCCTAGTTCTCTACCTAAACTGACTACGTTCAGCACCTTTTTCTAAACATACAAGGTGATTATGTAGCTGTGAATGCAATACAGGGTAAAAAAGTAAAAATACTGTTCTCTAATTCTATTTGGAATTACTAACTAATGTAACATTTGCATAATGCCTCTGACAGTCTGGTTAAACAGAGAACTTCATACCTGCTCTTGCGGCCACTTCTGTCTGTCCTCTGGGGTTCTTGACTTTGCTTTAAAACCTCTAGGCACATCTCCACTGTGCTTAGAGGCAGATGGGATATTCAGTGATTTTGGCCTCCCCTCGTGCCTGTTAGCACTGTGAACAGCTTCTCCCTTTGAACAAGTCTCTTTATAGTCATGTGCCATGTTTTCAGTCCCAGTGTGCTCTGGACTCATTTCTGTTGTACTATTAATACTGCTCATGCTCATACTCATTTTAATTTCTGCTACAATCTGGTCAATGTCCTCTTCCTGTTCTTCCAGCTCTGCATCCTCTTTTCTAGAATGATATGGTGATATTCCCTGTGAGTTTCCATTAGCCTCTGCTGGGTAATAGTCCGGATAGCCACCTTCACTCTGACAATACTGGATGTTTTCTTCTTGGTCTTGAATCTCCAAAGATGACACTTCATCCTCCAAAATCTGAACACCATTATCTTGACCTTCCTGCCACTCTTGACTGTCTGCCACCTCATTTTCATCTTGGTGCTGAATTTTACCTTCAGCCCATTCTTCTACAGCTTCCTGACATTCATCTGTTTCAACATGGTGTTCCTCATGGGGAGCATACTCCTCCCCATTGCAGTCCATTCCTTCCAGATAACTGTCATCCTCTGGACAGTATCTGATGTAGTACGTAATCCCCTCCTCTTCTTCAGGCAAACCTTCGTCATAGTCCTCCTCCTCAGAGGTGTTATTCACATAGTCAGAGCTGGAGTCACCATCTCCACTATGATCATTGCACTCATGTTCCACAGGGGTAGGACTACCTTGTCTGACAGTTGCTAGTTCTGCCTCCTTCGTTGCATAATCTTCAATAGGAAGGTCACTTTCTTCATCTTCCGGCTCCCTGTTGTGAGATGAAGTAGGGCAAGCTCTCACTCTGTGATCCAGCATGCTGGCTGTAGTGCTTTGACGTTTCCTGTTTGCCATAGCCAACTCCTTATATGACAATCATTTCTAAGCAATTACTGTAGGGAAGATGAAAAAACACACATTCAGGAAAAGGTCATCAGTGATGTTAAGAAACAAATCAATAGATTTATTTGGTAAAAAGGATGTGTTTGTAGATATTTAAACCAGATTCACAGACAGATAACTTTTAAAATGCTCATGTTATAGAACCATAAAACTAAAGTCATAACTTGCACACTGAAAGGAAGAGATAAAGAGAAGGTTCTACATTTATGCTAAATGTATTCTAGTGTAGGATCTCTTCTGTCAATTTGACAGAGAATTAAACCTGAACCTTGAAATTAGTTTTCAATTTCTTTTCCTTGCCAGTAAGGGGTCATGCTTTGACCACTATGCAGTAAACAGGAGCTCTTTTCAATTTACAATTTAGGCATTTCTTTGATGTGTACTGAAAGCATACACTCAGAATCTGACCTGCTCTTACCAAAACTAAAGGAAAATAATTCTGTGAACTTGGCAGTCACATAGGGTGCTAAAGCATCATGCACTGCTATTGAAAAAGTTCTTTAAAAAATATCACTCACTGGTATATTAACTCTTACTAGATGGATGTCATTAAGTATCTCCCATAGTTAAACCAAATACTGCTTTTGGAATAGATTATTTCAGTTGGAAGGGACCTATAATCATCCTCTAGTTCAATTGCCTGACCAGTTCAGAGCTGACCAAGTTAAAGCATGTTATTAAGGCCCTTGTCCAAATGCCTTTTAAACAGTGACAGGCTGGGGGCATTGGTCACCTCTCTAGAAAGACTATTCCAGTGTTGACCACCCTCTTGGTAAAGAAATGCTTCCTAATGTCCAGTTTAAACCTACTCTGGTGCAGCTTTGAACCATTCCCACACCTCCTATCACTGGATACCAGGGAGAAGAGCTCAGCGCCTTCCTCTCCACTTCCCCTCCTCAGGAAGCTGTAGAGAGCAATGACATTGCCCTCAGCTTCCTTTTCTCCAAACCAGACAAGCCCAAAGTCCTTAGCTGCCCCTCATAGGACATTCCTTCCAGCCCTTTCACCAGCTTGTCCTCCTCTGGTCACATAAAAGGACCTTCACATCCCTCTTAAATTGTGGGGTCCAGAATTGCACACAGTACTCCAGGCAAGGCTGCACCAGTGGCGAATACAGCAGGAGAATCGCTTCTTTTGACTGTCTGGTTTTACTGTGTTTGCACCCCAGGATGAGGTTTGCCCTCTTGACTGCCGGGGCTCCTATTGACTCATATTGATCCTGCAGCCAACCAGCACCCACAAATGTCTTTCTGCAGAGCTGCTTTCCAGCCACTCCTCCCATTTTATACTTGTGTCTGGGCATTATTCTATCCCAGGTACAGACTCTGGCTTTTCAACTTGATAATCTTCATCCCATTAATCATAACCCAATGCTCCAATCTACCTTGATCCCTCTGCAAGATTGTTTTTCAAACAATCTAATCCCAGGGAAAAAATACACATTTACAATAAAAGCTCATTAATTCTTCACACTAAATAGTTGTGCCATTTTAAATTACATATTTTTGTCTAAATACTGGATTTAAATAAACAGAGATTATCAAAAATAGTCAAAATAAAGAAAACAGCTAATTATAGGCTTGACAACTGATCTGCTGTGTATGATTTGGATGGGGGAATCAATGTACTTTCAGTATATATGTTTCTCTATATATTTCATTATTGTATGCTTATGATAAACTTGACCTGTGCAGTTACTTAACTGGAGTGAACTGAGCTCAGACACAGACTTCTGAAATGTACCACGCAACTGAATGCTTGATTATATGCATATAACAAAGGCATGTCAGCCAATGATATGATCATTTCGACATAACCAGTTTCTCAAGTCTTGTGTGCGCATATAGAGAACTAAACCTAGCATGGAGTTAGAGGATTAGTGGATATCTATATGGATATGAATTTCCTAAACATTATTAATTTATCAAAAATATCCTGTCACTAACCTAAAGCCTCATAGATATCACTTCTGAATTTCTGATACCACAAGGAAAACCCCAAACCTGCATTTGTGACAAATCCAGGAATCTCATGCATCTATGGATTAGTGTAATGGCACCACATGGCAAATCTAAACTCTCCCTGAAACAGCAATTCTAGATTCTGGGATACAAAGCAGAGATGCATGTTAGTCACAGGAGGAGACATGAATAGAAACAAGTTTGTGAAGCTCTCTTTAGTTATTGATACCTTGCATAACTAGTCTTGACAAAAAGCTTTGAAGTAAATAGTATATCCTAAGTGAAGTGTTAGATGAGAAAATCAAAGGAGAAGGCACAACTTTCCCAGTGATCACTTGTACCTTCTCACTGTCAGAACTAGCACACTTACAAGACTTTCTCAATATGATCTCTAAGCCCACTATGATCCCTTTAAGTCAATCTGTCCACTAGTGTTGCCTTTGATTTAGTTAGCTTCACTTACTGCAAACTAAGGATCTTTCTATACTGTGATTGCAGAATAAGCAAAAATTATTTTACATTTAATTAAAATAACAGTCTAGTCACAACACTGCAATGCTCTGCACAGGCTGCAAAGAACTGCCCACAAGCAAGATAAAGCACTTGTATGACCAGATCGGGAAGGGGTAAGCAAACATGTCTAAAACAAGTTAAGACAGTGCTACAAAAAAAAGGTATTTTTTGAATGGCAGCGCAAGAAAGAACTACAGACACCTCATCTGTCTTAAGTGAAAGTTATTTACCAAATATCTCTCTCAAGAAGAGAACAGATTAGTGTCTCTTAAGGAATGAACTGTTCTCATCTACAGTAGCCTCAGTCTACTAGTCATTGGAAATGTTCTCTGTATTAAGAAATACTTAGAGATGTACAGTGCAGTAAACCCTGCGCACAAGTCACTACAGTGTAGCTGAAGATAAAGCAGCAGAAAGCGTGTAACACAAGTACAGTTTGAAGCTCCATGACTCATATTTTCCTAAAGCATATGGAGATGAGAACCCTTTTTTTAGCCAAACAGTGTAATGGAGTTTTTCTACCCACATCTGAGAATCTTCATTTAGTATCCAGGCCCTGAAACTGCCATAAGTGATATTACTGCAGTGATACCCTTTTATAAATTCCAATAGTTGAATGTTCATAGATAATACTTACCTGCAAGAAAATCGGCTGCATGCTAGACACTGTAAAGCAGTGTTTGTCACAGGAAGCCATTCATACCTACTCTGAAGAGCCAAAAGCCAGTGGCTAGACAGGGCAGGAGCTGAGAAAGGGAGGGATGGCTGATGCATGGCAGCTACAACAGCTGTGGGGAAATTTCCAGGTTAGAGACTCTGAGGCCTCTAAGAAAATGGTTACCTGGGCAGCATTAATAACAGCAGCTGCAGCTCTCCCCTAATAGCGGCATGTGAAAGTGCAGCATATGTGCTATGGGAGGGAAAGTGAAGGAAGGACTTCAAAGAAATAGTGGTGGACTGAAACTTTTTAGAGCATAGGTGATGAGAGAAAAGTAATTCCTCTCATGCATGTCTAGCACTGACATACTAGAAGGACAGAGGAAAATGGGTTTCACTTAATTCAGCCTGAGTGCTTCACCTCTGTGTACTGAAATTGTGGCACACGTTCCCAATGGAAGTAAAATAAGCCTGATTTTTCAATGAGGCAAGGCTGATCTTAATGCTATGGAAACTGAAGTTGCAGAGCAATCTCTGCATAACAATTACAATTCTAGTTGGCCTCCTTACCTTTGCCATCTTCTCTGTCAGGCACTACTTTTTAGAAAACCAAGTACAGATCACATTAAAATAAAAAAGCAGAACTTATTATTCTCAGCCTTTGAATTGTAGACTGAATGTGCACTGATTATACCATCTTCAGCTATGAAATTTAACTTCAACTGTACTGGAACATCTGAATTACTAAATAGAGTTTTCAAACACAAGTCTGAAAATTGCTCTTTATGGACCTGCACATACGTTTCTGTCAAGGAAACAAACAGCTGTATTTTAACTCAAATACTAGAACATCCAAGGTTGCCTAGTTTTCTTCCACCATTTCAAAATATCTCTCAGGCTTCCTAGAAAAATACTTTAGTCTTACATTAGGTTTAGCATAACCTGAATCTTTTAAAACCTAAAATCGTTCTAGGCTTTTTCTAAGTTGTCTTATGTCACACGGCAAAGTGCTAATTCCTGAAGGCCACAGGTCCAAACTCTTTCGTCTTCTCTTCTACAGAAATGTTAGTTTATCTGTGTGGATGGCAATTAACTGAACTCAATGTATTCAGATTTTAAAAGAACAAAACCTGAACTTGGATGTTTTTTGAGAAATGGAATAGATAAATTTTTACCACACATTCTGCTATCCAGTCTACTGTGCAGTAGCCTTCAGTCGTCTACTGCAGGGATTAATAGTTTTTCTAATTTTTTCAGTAAATCTATGGTGTTAGAAGGTTACATAGCCAATATTCACATATTGTTTACTAAGAATGCTCTTGAAATTGGAGAAAATACTGGATTTCTATCTAACACTACTCCAATTTCCTCTGAAGGATAGTAGCAATGATTTTCTGGATCCAGAGGCACTGTATAATAAAGGCTTCAACTGCGTCAACAGGTTACTCCCTCTGCTTGGTGTAAGATTTCCTCCTGATATCTCCTTAGCTCCCTCCTTAGGTCAAACTTCTGTATTCATTCAAGTGCAGTTTTCAACTTCTGACTGGGGGGAAGTGCTCCTGAGAACATCAGAGGTCAGTGCTGTATCCTCCTTTACTCTCCTCAGGATTCAGCAATTTTACCTTGCTGAGACAAGCAAACGCTGATTTGTGTTGTACAGTGCACCACTAAAGTTCCATCAGTGTTGTAACGATCAGTGATTAAGGGACCAAGTTGCATAGGGTTCTCAACAAACATGTTTTGCTTTATTTTTCTTAAGTACCCCTGCCTCAGCTCAATGTTGAGAGGAAATCAATCTCCAGAAAACATATGTTGTATTTCTTCTACGTGGCAGTAAAAAGGAGTATGCATAGGGGAAC